TGGCACAAGGCAGAAGCTAGAGGTCAAGTCTCAGGACTCAAGGTCACCGTGTCCCACCAAGTCACACTCGTTCCCAAACGTGAGGGATGCCAGCAAGGGAGGTGTCTGCCCAGGCTTAATCACAGGCCAGTCTTCTATAGATCGGAGAAGGAAATGGCACCCCACTCCAGCATTCTTGCCTAGAGAATCCTGTGGACAGAGGAGCCTGGTGGGCTGCTGTCCTTGGGGTCGCAGAGTCGGACACGCCTGAAGTGACTTAGCAGCAGCAGTTCTGTAGATCGAGGATGAGCTTCATTTTTCACTGTAGCACTCATCTTTGTGATTCCCGGTGTGAGTTTTCTTTACTTCTGTCATCACTAACACTAAACCTATCAAAGTTAGGGCCCACGCAAAAGAAGCAAAGGAAGGACCACTCGGTGAAAACCCTTGCCATCATGTTAGTCTGCATCACACCTCTGCCTTGGCTGAATACATTAACATTTCAGCAAAATAGCATTAGCAAGAATTAATTCAGAGCAAATATATGAACACACTACGAACAGCGCTATTATTCTGAATGTTTTGCTGCTGTTGAAAGGCCTCTAATTATATACTTCACAGTTATAAAAACTGTTGCCTAATCATGTGCTACAAGGGGTGTCATTGTCACCTCCATTTAGAGGCAAAAATAGCAGTGGTTTCAGCCCATTGTGATTCTGAAATCAGGCTCTTGGGTGACGCTTCTGACCCGCCACTGGGAAGATATGCCATTTGAGGTGTGAGTGGATTCGTGGGCTGTGTGCATGCTAAGTGGCTTCGGCAGTTTCCGCCTCTCTGTGACCCCGTGGCCTGTGGCCCAGCAGGCTCCTCTGTCCATGAGATTCCACAGGCAGGAACACTGGAGCGGGTTTGCGGTGCCCTCCTCCAGGGGATCTTCCCGACCCAGGGATCGAACCCGCGTCTCTTATGTCTCCTGCACTGGCAGGCGGGCTCTTTACCACGAGTCACCTGGGAAACCCAGATTTGTGGGTTACTCCACGTAAGTTTCCTTCACTTCTTTTGTCCTTGGTTTGCACTTCTTGTAATTAAACTTTTAAATTGTAACTCAGTTATATATCGTCAATCTATAGCAACTAATGGGTCGTTTGGGCAAGTACCTTGTGCTCTGTGAGGATATATCCCCAAGCCTGTAAAAGTAACACATCGCAAAGATCGTCACAAGGATTAAGTGAGATGATGGATGTCTCTTAGACCACAATAGATGCACAACAAAAGCACTCAAGAGAACCTGGATCAATTCAGTAAGGCTGAGTTAAGATGTGTTGACAAGTGGATTTCAGTTTCTTGTAAAAAAAAAAAAATTATCAGTCTACTTCAGCTTTTTGCCCTGTCTTGGAGAGTTTGTATATACTGCTAGGAGTTCATGCAGTTGTGCTGCATGCATTTGGCTTTCCGCTGTCAAATCTTCTAGCAGCCCTCTATTCAGACACATCCTTCATACACTTCATTACATTATGGTGTCATACTGCGAGCGTTTTTAAAAGTATTCCGTGCTGCTTGAAAGGTCTGATTCTGTGGCTTTCATTTCCATTTTTCTTAAGGAACAGGAAAACCTTTGCTATGATAGTAATTAACAACTGGTACTCCGGATGGCATCCATCAAAAGTTCACCCCAGAGCAGCTGTAGTTTTTGGAATCTGACACCCAGCTGTCCCAGATGGTATTTTTAGCATTGCTCTCTCTAAATACAGGAGGTGGTGTCAAAATACAGTCAAAGGATAATATTATTATGGAGATTCTCGCAAAGGAATTGGGTTTCCTCCGTTCCCTTTTCTAAAATGTTTGTCCTCTGCAAATAAGTAAACCCTGGTAGCTCAGACGGTAAAGCGTCTGCCTACAATGCGGGAGACCCGGGTTCGATCCCTGGGTAGGGAAAATCCTCTGGAGAAGGAAATGGCAACCCACTCCAGTACTCTTGCCTGGAAAAATCCCATGGACTGAGGTTCCTGGTAGGCTACAGTCCATGGGGTCGCAAAGAGTCGGACACGACAGAGCGACTTCACTTTCACCACAGTTGACAAGTCTGTCCTCACAGGCGGGTCAAATCAGGAATCACCGAGACACACTTTTGAAAACTGGAATTGTGAATATGTCTCATAAGTCTTCTCATTTTATTATACTTGAGTCCTATAGCAATAGTTTAAAATTAGGGCCATTACTATGGTCGTAAAATTTTTAAATGATGATAAAATTATATAAATTTTAAATGATTATAAAACTATAAAAGGATAAGGGGGCGGCAGAGGATGAAATGGTTAGACAGCATCACTGATTCAGTGGACAGGAACTTGTGCAAACTCCAGGAGGTGGTAAGGGACAGGGAGGCTTAGAGTGCTGTGGTCCATTGGGTTGCAAAGAGTTGGACAAGACTGAGCAACCAAACAACAACAAATGAAATTATTGTCTCTAAACAGGAAAGCGTTCCCTGGATGCTTGTTGTTTAATCATTAAGTCATGTCCAACCCTTACTAGGTGTCTAAAGTTACTAGAAATTGTGCAAAAAAGATGCTTTCTTTGTAAAAACAAAACAAGACACTATACTGTCTAGTTGGCAAACTCCTTGTAAATGAATAAAATAAAATTCTCAATTGTGGGGAAAATATTTTAATACATGCATATATTTGCATTTGTGACATAATATTTGCATCTGTAGACTTACTAACGATTGAACAGTTCTGAAGCCTCAGATCCACAGTTAAGTGAGGGTCAGAGCCAAGGTCAGCCTTCAACCAAGCCAGTGACCCCCCTGTGAGGCCCAAGCAGAAGCTGCCCCCAAGGCAGGCCTGGAATTCCTCTGACATTCCAGCCACCAGCACGGGCCTGCCCTGAACATCCCAGGCCTGCCCTCAACTCCAATCTCTGCCTCTTTGTTCTGAGGCTTTAAAAGCAATCGTAGTAATTCTCTAGTTGCTATCATCAAGTTTCATAGCTTTAAACACTACCCATCTGTTGATATCTCCCAAAGAGTTATCTACAGTTCAGAATTTTCCCCAAATTCCAGAAACCATTTGTCCCCATATCTACTGATCCCCCCGCTGAGAATTCTACTAGTTTTAAAAAAAACTTACATCTAAGGACTTCCCTGATGGCCCAGTGGCTAAGACTCCACGCTCCCAAGGCAGGGGTCCCAGGTTCAACCCTTGGTCAGGGAGCTAAATCCCACATGCTGCTACTAAAGAGCCCATATGCCACAACTAAGACCCAGGGCAGCCAAACAAATAAAATACAAATATTAAAAAAAAATTACATCTACAGAGCAGAAACAGACACAGAAAAGAGAGAACAAGCTAGTGGTTACCACTGAGGGAACAAGGGGAGGGACAGGGTGGGATGTGGGAATATAAGAGGTTAAAAACTACTAGATATAAAATAGATAACCAGCAAGGACTGACTGCACAGCACCGTGAACTCTGCTCAATATTCTGTAACAACCTAAATGGGGGAAAATTTGAGAAAGAATGGATACCTGTATAACTGAATCACTCTGCTGTATACCTGAAACTAACACCACGTTGTTCATCAACTACGTGTGTGTGCTAAGTCGCTTCAGTCGTGTTCAACTCTGCAAGCCTGTAGACCATAGCCCACCAGGCTCCTCTGTCCATGGGATTCTCCAGGCAAGAACACTGGAATGGGTTGCCATGTCCTCCTGCAGGGGATCTTTCTGACCCAGGGATCAAACTTGCATCTCTTCCATCTCCTGCATTGGCAGGTGGGTTCTTTACCCACCTGGGAAGACTTAATCAACCATACTCCTCCAATATAAAATAAAAATTAAAATGAAAGAAGAGATAAGCCACAGGTCTGTATTGTACAGTACAGGGAAATTTCGTCATTGTTTTATAAAAACATTAAGAGGAGTATAATCTATAAAAATATTGAACCACTATGTTGTACGCCTGAAACTAATATAAAATTATAAAGCAACCAGGCTTCAGTTAATAAATAAATAAATAAGGCAGAAAGAAAAAAATAGCTGTATCTAAAAACAAGTTTCTCCATTCCTACCCGTGTGAAGACTTGTGCATCTCAGGCCATGGGAATTCTGTGCTATGAACGTTCCCTCTGTCTGCTGTGCAGTCAGTCCTTGTTGGCTATCTACTCTGTATCTAGTAGTTTTTAACCTCTTAGTCCCACACCCCATCCTGTCCCTCCCCTTGTTCCCTCAGTGGTAACCACTAGCTTGTTCTCTCTTTTCTGTGAGTCTGTTTCTGCTCTTCAGTTCAGTTCAGTCGCTCAGTCGTGTCCGACTCTTTGCGACCTCATGAATCACAGCACTCCAGGCCTCCCTGTCCATCACCAACTCCCTGGAGTTTACTCAAACTCATGTCCATGGAGTCGGTGATGCCATCCAACCATCTCATCCTCTGTTGTCCCCTTCTCCTCCTGCCCTCAATCTTTCCCAGCATCAGGGTCTTTTCCAGTGAGTCAGTTCTTCGCATCAGGTGGCCAAAGTATTGGAGTTTCAGCTTCAGCATCAGTCCTTCCAATGAACACCCAGGACTGATCTCCTTTAGGATGGACTGGTTGGATCCCCTTGCAGTCCAAGGGACTCTCAAGAATCTTCTCCAACACCACAGTTCAAAAGCATCAATTCAGATGTAACAACAAAAAATCATATTTATGTACTTGACTGCGCTGAGTCTTAGTTGGGACATGTAGCTCTTTAGCAGTGGCACGTGGGATCTGCGCTATGAACCTTCCCTCTGGAGTCTGCTCCCTCCAGGAACAAATCATGTTGTCTTTTCTCACTGTCCTCATGACCGACCCCCTGGTCAAGGGCATCATGAACTCTGGGTTTAATTACGGATCTAACTCGCCCCTGATTCCGCCACGGCTCCTTTCCGTATATTCTCCACACGTGTCAGTATAAGCCTATGAAAGCAGAGATCACACGTGGTCACTCCTCCGGCACGACGCTACGAGACAGTCCCACCTTGGAGTAAACACAGAACTCTCACCGTCCTGTATGATGTCCTGACCTCGCCTCCTGCCAGCCTGCCCCCCGCCTCGTTCTCGGCTTCCCAGGCATGCGGTTCCCCAAGATGCCGAGCATCCTCGCCCAGCACTTCCGCGCACTGCCCCTTTCTGCTCCTCTCCTGCCAGCCGTGACCAGCCCCCTGCCTTCATTCAGGGTTCGTTCAGAAGTCACTCTCTCCATGAGGCGTTCTGTGTCTACACTCCCCAACGCGTCCCTGTCTTTTCCTCTTCCTTCCCTGGACTCTGACACTCCCTAGCCACACCTTGCCCCCTCAAGCCAGCTTTGAGATTTTCTCCTAAGTTCTTATTATTGGTGCATATACTGTCTGTTTCCTGTATTGAGTTTGCTGATATTGTCTGCCTCCTGCCCCCGAATACACCTCCCTGCGCAGAGGTTTTTCTCTTGTTCCTCGCAACATCTCCCTAAACTAAAACACAGACTGACCCAGAAACGGCCGTCAACTAAAATCTGAACGGGGCTTTAAGGATGACTCTTCAAGGGCTGTGGTCTGTATAGCAAGCAGACGATGATGGTTTTATGCATGCAACACCAAAACCATCCATCGAGAGAGTGAAAGTGTCAGTCACTCAGTTGAGTCCCACTCTTTGCGACCCCATAGACTATAGCCCGCCAGACTCCTCTGTCCATGGCATTCTCCAGGCAAGAATACTGGAGTGGGTTGCCATTTCCTTCTCCTGGGGATCTTTCTGACCCAGGGATTGAAGCCAGGTATCCTGCATTGCAGGGGGATTCTTTACCGTCTGAGCAACCAGGGCACTGAGAGAGTACATTCAGTTAAACAAATGAACAAAGAAACAGGTTGACTCATTTGATTCTACTCATAGGATCAGTTAAGGCTGTTCTTACCGCAATAAAAACAAAAGCTCACCCATGCAGAGTATTTCATGGATCCATCTCCTGCAACTTTAGAATCACCTTCTCATCAATGAGAGTTTCTTAAAAATTACTTTGTTCACCAAAGAAGCCAGAACACCACCTTCTGTGAGATGGAGACAGAACATAGACACACACATGGAGACAGCTCTGTGATTTCTGAAATAAATCCGAAATAAAGAGGAGGACGGCGTTCCTCATGGCCCGAGACTTAGACTCTAACTGCTCCTCAAAGGGCTGAAGAAAGTATTCGGGGACATTCCTATGAGCAACGTGCTCTGTTCCTCAGGAGATGAGTAAAAACTCTCAAGGGGCATTGAATGCCCACCCTGGGGCTCCTCCCACCCTCCTAGATGAGGATTCCCTTCTGATGACTGCGTCCCTGTTTCATCTGTGGCAGAACAAAAATTTAATAGGGACATGTGGGAGTCAAACAGCATGGCAGGAATCACCCCCTAGCTGCTGATTACTCAACAGACTAAAATTGAACAGGTGCGGAAGTTCCATTCTGCAGAAGTGGAGAATAGCATTCCCAAAGAGTGACGGAGCCTGCCTTGTAAAAGGTCCATGTCTTTTCCGTCATGAACACTGCACACCTGACATCTATCTCACGTGTACTCGAAAGTGACTGTGGGTGGAAAGAGACAAGTGAAGCTCTTAGAATAACCGATTGCTTCGCAACTTCCCACTGAATGTTTTTAGTAAAGCCGATGCTCCTCCAAGGTAAATCCATTAGAACCAAGCAATCAGCAGACCTCACCAGAGTCTCTGTCAGCCCTACTTAACCATTTTCCATCCAGGAGTTATACTGTTAGTTACCTTGTCAATATTATATTGATGAAGAGAAAGGCTGCATTCATCTTGCTGTCTTTCTTTCTGTTCAGGACTTGACTCAGTGACGCTTCAATTATGGAGACCTAATCACAGGGCATTTTTACTCCCCTATTTCTTGAATGTCAAGCAAAGTTAAAAATATGTCAGATCCTTCCAGCAATGCATCTTCTTTGACATGAGCTAGTTTTGAATAAGTGTGTACATCACCTACGATGTAAGTGCCTTGCTCAGTGGAGACAGCTCTTAGAGTCACCACGGAGAGGTTCAATGCATCCGTGGCTCCTTGGACTTTAAATATGCTGGCTCTCAGAGGGTTATCTAAGAAAAAGGTGAACTTGACAAAGACTTTGAATTCTGTTTGCAACCAATTGCCAGAGCACAATGATATTCTTTCTCCTGTGGCGGTCATAGAATTCCAGAGTCTTTGAAACATAGCCAAATAAATGCACCTTGGGATCTTTAAATAAAGAATCACATTCCCAAAGGGCCAGAGGGGGAACTGCAATGGCAGACTTATACATTAGTTCCTGGGAGAGCCAAGCTGAAACTCTCCAGAGGAAGAAATGCACAGCTTCCCTCGGCAGACAAATGCAACGCTCTCGAGTCACTTTCAGGAAAAAATAGAACCTGAATGCTGCAGCCTCTGGGTCTCTTCTCGTCCCACAGCCTCTGAACAGGGAAGGCGGCCAGCGCCCCTGTCTTCATATTGAAGGTCACGCTTTATTCTCACTCCAGCCTTTGCTTCTCGGCTGAGATAATCCAGGGTGCCTATTGGATTCATATCAAACCAAATGGATTTAAGAATTACTATTAACACTATGACCTCAAGAGACTAAAATGACAATATTAAACCCTCGCAATAATAGAAGGATACTCACTACATAAGTGACAGTCTTCCTCTCCATTGTGTATCTCCCCTTGGCTCTATAGTGTCCTTAGACCCCTAACAGTTCATTCTTTAATTTAAATTATTAAACTGTAAATAATGCTCTTGTGGTAAGGATGGCATTTGATCAAAAAATGTAACAGGGGAATTTTATTATTATAGTAAGGAAGGGAGAATGATAAAGTTGTAAGGTCTTCTTGCAACATTCTTAAATCTCAGCAAACTTGATGCCTGCTTCTTTAAAAAGTGCTGTGGACTATGGAAGTTAGTTAAAAAGAATATGTTCAAATGGCTCATCAACTGTAAGAAATGAATCATACTAAGGGAGCAGGGTGAGAGGGTGCATCAGAAATCTCTGTACTTTCTTTTTAAAGTATATTTTTTAATAAAGTTCTCAAGCAATTCAACTTGTTTAAAAAAAACAGTGCTGTGAAAATACAAGCCAGTATCCACTGACAAAAGTCAATTATTGTGAAGAAGGGGAGAAGTGTTTGAGAGGGAAGGAGTAGGGCGAGCACCCACATAGCTTACAACTAACACTTCAGAAATGAAACTATCTAAGAATGGGAAAGGAAATGGAGAAGAAATAAAATTAACCATTATATGGACCATTTGGATAGCTTCTAACGTTGCTCAACACTGGTTAAGCGTCTGCCTGACAATGCAGGGAACATGGGTGCGATCGGTGGGCGGGGAAGACCCTACAGGACGCGGGGCAGCTGAGCCCGGGAGTTGCAGCTCCTGAGCCCCGGTGCCCGAGTGCCGAGGCCCGCACACCCCGGCTCCTGCCCGCAGCAAGAGGAGCCAGCACCGCGAGCAGCCTGCGCGCTGCAGTGAGGGGCCCCCGCTCCCGCAGCCAGACCGAGCTCGTGTGCGCCAGTGAAGACCCGGCACCACCATGATGAATAAATAAATCTGAAAACAAACAAACAAACCCAGAAACCTTCATGTAACGTGAAGATATTTATTTTCACTCCGGCTCTCGTCTTAGTTCACGTCCTGGGTCTTCACAAAGACTTTCCGCACTATGCAGTTTGCGGGGACTTCAAACCTCGCGTAGACTTTGATTTCCAAGGGATTTACAGCTCAGCCGTCCTCGGGGGCCAGCTGCAGGCGCGCTGGGTCCCAGCTGGGCTTCACCTGCCCCTGCAGACGACCGACAGCTGTTCCAAGTGGCAGGAGGGCACCCAGCCCCACCAGCTGGGGCCGCTGCGTGTTGGCACGGCGCGGCGTTTCCACCGCGTGCCTTCTCTCCCGCTTGGGAACACGCCTCCCCGGGGTGGGCTTGGAACCACAAGATCTTCGGTTCCCTCCGAATGAGCTCTTTACTGGGGACCTGAAAGCTGCCATCCAGATCAGCCTGGAGCCTGGGAGGTCAGGGCGTTGGAAGCCGGTTCCAGGAACTGGCGCAGCATGGACTGTTGTGTGAGAGGCTGCCTGTGTGCACGCGAAGTCGCTTCAGTCTTGTCTGACCCTTCTCAGTTCCCCGATTAAAGCCTTTCAAGTGGAAACACTGAGAGTGACTTCTGTTTCTCTGACAACAGCCTCCGTGGTGCTCAGACCCTGTCTTAGTTTTCTAGGACTAGCATCACAAAGCCCCACAGACTGTAGGTTTGAAGAGCAGAGCTTTACTGTCTCACAGTCTGGAACCCGAAAGTCTGGGATGGAGGTGTCCAAATTCGGTTTCTTCCAGGGCCATGAGGGATGCTCTTTCATTCCTCTCTCCTTGGTGTGTAAATGGCCATCTTCCTGTGTCTCTTTGCTTTCCATTCTCCTGTGAGTTTATCCTCTTCCAGACTTCCCCTTTTTGCAAGGAAATCAACTGCTTTTTTTGGATTAGGACCAACCCTACTAACCCCATTTTAACTTAATGATCTCACTAAAGACTGTGTCTCCAACAAGGTCACATTCAGAGGTACTTGGGGATTAGAACGTCAACATATTAATTTGAGGGAAACACATAATTAAACCCACAAAAGATTCAAAATATCAGAGACTTATACAAGACAGATGGAGAAGGAAATGGCAACCCACTCCAGGATTCTTGCCTGGAGAATTCCATGGACAGAGGAGCCTGGCAGGCTACAGTCCATGGGGTTGCAAAGAGTCAGACATGACTGAGTGACTAACATACAAGACAGAAGCTGATTATTTCTTGTATAATCTAAGGATATTATGTCAACAACTGGTTTACTGCCCAACAACATTTTAGGTTGGCAAGCTCTTGTTTCTCAACTTGGCATGGATGTTTCCCCTAAATTCACCTCTTGGACCAAAACTATCGTTGGAGCACCAGCCATAAGGACTATATTCCAGCCAACAGGAAGCACTAGACAAAAGAGAGTGTGACAAACAGCATAAGCAAGCTATCTGTTAAGAAAGTTTTTCCAAAACTGCCCAGAACAATTTTGCTTACATTCTTTCGCCCAGCATTAACTCAAATGGCCCCATCCATCTCTTGTGTGAGATGCTCATTAACATTTTATTCTGAGAAACGATTAACCTGGTGAAAATTCTGTTGCTCTGAAAAAAAAGGGGAAAGATGAATATTAGAGGTCAACTGGCAAAATTCTCCACAGTGAAGCTATTACAGAATTATAGGCTGTGGTTTCAACTATTTGGTTGAAAAAAATAGTGAAAAGACTTACACAGGTCAACAGAAATACTGTCTACTGTGTGGATTATGTCAAGACCCCAGCGTTATTTCTAAAAGTCGGATTTTTTCTTTGTCAAACATCTTTGGACACAGTGTGAATCTTGTCAAAGAAAAACTCAGAGGCAGACTCACTTTAGAAAGGAAAGTGCTTCTTCACAAAGACTTCTAAGAAAATCAGGTGTCAAAAGGACTGGCTCAAGAAACATAAAATGCAACAAATATTTTTAGCAATGGCAACTGACCAAACTTAGTACATTTGTATTAGTCTGCTCATGGCGCAAAAAGAGCAGTTCTCAAGCACTTATATTCACAAAGTTATATTCAAACAACAACACATGAAAAAAAATCAGGGACAAAATTTTTGTGAAGTACAAATATATACAAATTAGACAAGATTTTATCATTTGGAGTTGCTGTTGTTTAGGTGCTAAGTCAGGTCTGACTCTTTTGTGACCCGCATGGACTGTAGCCTTCCTGGGTCCTCTGTCCATAGGATTTCCCAGGCAAGAGTACTGAGTGGGTTGCCATTTCCTTCTCCAGGGGATCTTCTCAACCCAGGGATCGAACTTGTGTCTCCTGAGTCTCCTGCATTGGCAGGTGAATTCTTTACCTGAGCCACCAGGGAAGCCCCATCATTTCGGGTACCAGAACCCATAGGGTGATCTGTTAGTTTGGTTTATCCCAAGGCAGACAGTATCTTTTATGATCATTCTTAGACATCGTAGCAGCAGAGTGTTCACTTCTGATTCTGCAACATCAACCAAAAACATAAGTTCCTCCCTGCCTGCCTCCATTTCCATCTTCCCTCTAATGTCCTTCGCAACAAGCACAAGGTATCAATCTGGACCTTTCCTGCAGAGATTTTAAGGCTCTGATCTCCCTTCTTAGGCCTGCAGATAAAATATTCGGATAACATTATTATAGGCCCTCCTGGTCTCAACTTCCCAAATGGCTAGCACTCAGATGCCACCCGCAACTTGCCATCACTGGTCACCTGGCACTGTGGCAATTTTCTGCTGCTTCTGTGGGGAGGGTGGGGGTGGCCAGAGGGAAACGGGACCAGTCAAAGCACTATCCAAACACAGAACTGGTAAAACTGGCCGGATTCCATGGCCATTAGATGGTCCACCTCTCATGTTCAAAAGACAGTCTATCAGTTACGTGAGCACATGAGTTACGAGTGTACAGGTTTTGCAGTTGCTCAGAAGCAAAGCTTTCTAGCCTTAGTCAGTGAGGAAGAGGAGAAGGAGGCATTGCTACTGCACTCCATCTAGCGGTCAGCCCTGCAGAGACACGACGCTGCAGCCCTTTGTGTTCCAAGTCAAGGATGAGGATGCGACGGGATTGAAGCCAAATTTTCTCCTGCCTTCAACTCTCTCCTAAGCCACCTGGAAAGTATATTAACTTTTTAAGGGTGGGATGATCAACCTGTGAAACTTAAGACTGATACCTCAGGAGGAAATTTCTTTGAAGATTTGCATTAAATGAGAGGTCATTATAGTTCACTATTAGCCTGAATAAATCATCACTTCCCTGTCACTGTACCTCTTCCCTTTTCTCAGAAGAAGGTATTTTTAAATACGATTTTCTAATGTAGAAATTGAGAGGTCTGGTCAGGAACCTTTTACTATTACTAGGGTCTCTGTAAACACTCTATTGTTTGTTTGCGGCTGCTAAAGACTTACACTTTTCCAACCAGCAACAAAATGCTAGGAGTGTCCTGCAACTTGGAAACTGTTACTCAATCCTGATCTTTTTCCTACTGGCTCCAAGCAAATGATTGATTTGTCCCTTAAGACAATCTCACTAATGAAAAAGACCCTTTAGGACCACTCCAGTTAATTGGCAGCAGCAACACAAAGCCCTGTGTTAAGAAACCGAGTGTGATTAGACTGAAAGCAATTTGGCTCTCTGTGATAGAACCGATGGAGCTGAAGATGTTCAACCTAAAAGCTGAATTGAAAGGGACTATTCTTCCAATGATGAGTTTGTCTTTTAAGTATGGTGCTTCTCAACATAATTTCTTAAAATACCTAAGAAGTTTGGAGGGAAAGATTTCTACTTTATTCCCACCTGACAACTGAAAAGAAAAAGAAGTACAACCTAAAAGTGGAGAATCATGTTTTATTTGTTGGACAAATCTGAGGACATAAGCCTAGGACACAGCATCTCAGATAACTCTGAGAAACTGTTCCAAAGAGGCAAGGCGGAGGGTACCCAGGACATATAGGAGACTTTTTTTTGCAACAAAAGACAAGGAAGTTAGAACATCAAAAGATTACTGTTAGTATTAAATATTTACAGGAAAAAGAAAAGATTTCAAAAGGAATTTAGGGACTTGCTACGTAGGGGAATATGCAAGCGTCTGGGCTCACTGAAGTCATTCGTTTGCTATGAAACTTAGCTGTTTGGACCGGTCACCTGTTCCTTCCCATCCAAATTCCCTGAGGGGTCACCGTTGGGGTGACTGCGGAGGCTGATCACTACACTCTTTTTCCTCCATCCTGAGTTTCCTTAGGGCTCACCACCCGGCCCCTGTGCTGTGATGGTTTGATGGCAATGGCATCCTTTGTTTACTGATATGACAGGCAGCAGTTTAGTTCACATACCTAACATGCTTTTTTAAAGTTTATGTTCTTTTATCACTGCAGTGCATGGTTTGCAATATCAGAAAGGTCCAGCTGCCCCCACAGAGCCTCGTGAAGCCTTTCCAGTGACTTTCTCTGGGTCACCAAGGTTGTGATGTGTTCTTTAGAGTGGAAATGCTTTTATTTTTCAACTTTAAGTATTACAAATAGCACTAAATCAATTAGAAAAATTAGAAAAATAGAAATCGAAGCGACTGTTAATGGTTAGAAAATATTCAAAGGGGTGCAAAACTCCAGCAAGGCACCAAAAATATCACTATTCAAAGAAGTGCGTGCATGCTAAGTCACTTCATTGTGTCCAACTCTTTGCGACCCAGTGGACTGTAGCCCACCAGGCCTCTCTGTCCATGGGATTCTTCAGGCAAGAATCCTGGACTGGGTTGCCATGCCCTCCTCCAGGGGATCTTCTCCACCCAGGGATGAAACCCAGGTCTCTCACATCCCCTGCATTGGCAGGCAGGCTCTTTATTACTAGCATCACCTGGGAAGCCCTATTCAAAGAACACTGGGTTTTAATCATTATCTTTAACATTGCAATTTGACTAAATTATCCTGGGGCCCAGTTTACACTTGGCTTAACAATACTGGACAAATGACCTATGAGTACAGGGGGATGGACTGAGAGGCCTCACGGCTCAGGCAGAGACAATGAGCTTGATCAGAGACATCAGCAGTTACAGGCGGGGCACCTACATGACAGTCCACTCACCTGCTAGGAAATGCATCATATTTCCATGAGCAAAGAGAAGATGTTTGAGGCCCACATCTCATCATTGTTATCATGCTGGAATAAAAATTGCCAAGAAGCCATGAAGACTTTCCCCAAGCGTCAACATTTAGTGGAGAAATATAGTTTGAAACAAAATCTTCTTCCAACCTGGAAATCCTCTGCATAAAGTCAGTTGAGAAAGACAATAGTTTTATTGTTGAAGAGGCACTAAACCGGAATGTGATGCATGGAGCAGGAGGTCTGCTACAAGATTGTGGGAACAGAAAGAGATCTCACCCTCCTTTGTCACCAAGCAGATGCGACCCATTAGATACACGTTCTCAGGATGAGCAGTAAACTAGTCCTCAAGTAACAGGACTTGACAGCAACATCTGTCACCCTGCATCTACCTGGTAATTGGGGTGACCATCCATGTCTGTTAATTGACTTTATACAAAGGAAAAACAAATGCCTATCTCTCTGACATCAGGGGGCCAGTGAACCCTCACCTTCCTGGAAGTTACATCTCAAGGAGATGGCTCCTAAGTCCTTGAGAAAGACTTTCCTGAGCTGAGAAACCTAAGTTTCGCTTTCAGAAAGATTTACATACACTTTGAAGAGATGGGGAAAAACTTGCCAGTTTTCTAAAAAAGATGGTCTAAGAAAAAGTAGGGGAAACAGCTCTTCCCTGATTCCTAACAGGCAACAGGAAGCCTCTTCTTTCTTTTTTTTTTTTTATTTGCCCCACACCTTCCATCTTTTCTGGTGGCTCAGAGAGTAAAGAATCTGCTTGTGATGCAGGAGACCAGGGTTCAATCCCTGGGTGGGGAAGATCCCCCAGAGAAGGAAATGGCAACCCACTCCAGAATTCTTGCCTGGAGAATCCCATGGATGGAGAAGCCTGGCAGGCTGTGGTCCATGGGGTCACAAAGAGTTGGACCCGACTGAATGACTAACACGTTCACTTTCTTCTCTATGTTTGCTTTTCCTGCAGCAGCACCGCTGCCTCTGCCATCCTGTACCTTAAGTATTAGCTGGGCAGGTCCCGAGGAGCACCTTCCTCTGGGAGCCTGCTGGCCACGTGGCCCCAAACTCCCAATCCATCCCCCCTCCCCCACAGCTTGGAAACCACAGGTCTGTTCTGTTCTCCTTGTCTGTGAGTTGTTTCTGTTTCACTGATAAGTTCGTTTGTGGCCTATTTTAGATGCTGCACATAAGTGGTTGTCATATGATACTTGTCTTTCTCTTTCTGACTTACTTCAGTTAGTTTGATAATCTCCAAGTCCAACCCTGTGGCTCCAAATGGCATTGTTCCATTCTTTTGTCTGGCTGAGTACCATTCCGTGGTAGATAAACAGCACACTGTCTTTATCCACTCATCTGTTGATGGGCATTTACGTTGTTTTTATGCCCTGGCTATTGTGAATATCTTCCTCTAATAACTGATTTCCTCAGGGAAGAGACACAACCTGATACCTTTTGTGAACAAAACGGTGAGCTAAGCGATGGGGGTAGAAAAGTGGGTAAGACAGAGCCAGCCTTAGCCCTGATCTGCATCAGCCTGGTACCAAAGGCACACTTGGACTGGAGCTCATGGCCACACCTGCCGCAGGCAGGACTGAGCTGCTAAGCGGGTTTGTAAGTTTTATAAACTTATCTCTGGTTCTCACATCCACTCTCTACAGATTCTTATCCCTGTTTTACAGATAAAAAACAGAGACTCAGAAAAATGAAGGACTTAGGAATATGTATCTAAAATGAACACAGTTGGAATTCAAGCCAGTTCATTGGGCCCCAGGACTCCATGCTCCTATAACAACATTACGTTGCTTTTCTAGGTAACTTTAGATAATTTAGTGTGTCCAGTGACCAAGACGTATGCAACTCTTTGCTATGCCGAGGACTGCAGTCCACCAAGCTCCTCTGCCCATGGCATTTCCCAGGCAAGAATACTGGAGTGTGTTGCCACTTCCTTCTCCAGGAGATCTTCCAGAGCCAAGGATTGAACCTGAATCTCCTGCAATACAGGTAGATTCTTTACCACTGAGCCACCTGTGAAGGTAGGTGCTTTAGTAAGATACATCAAATAGGTAAAAATTAAGTTCTGTGTCATTTCAGCAAAATGCTTAAGCAACTCCCAAATGGAGAGAGTTACAAAGTCTTCATGATAAAGCAAGTAAATTCCTAGACAAACACACACTGGTATTCAGTTTTAATCAATCAAAGCAAAATAGAAGTGATTCCACCCCAACTGCCACTTTAGAGACTTGCATACTGCTCCAAATTATTAATTCAAAGCTTGTACGTTCAGAGAGATGTGTGTGGGTGAAGATTTACAGAAGACGTTTCTTAGTTAAAGAGCAAAATATGTACGGTCTTTGAAATATCAAATATGCCCTGTATTGTCACACTGTTTTGGTCTGGTGCATTAATTTAAAAGAAAATTGATGGACTGGAACTCCAAGATAAAGATGATAGCACAGCCATTAATACTATGATATTTCTAGATATGGATAATAAAAATCACAAAAATTGTCTTATTTTACAGTATGCTATTAATAAGATTCACATACAGATAAACCCCTTTACTCCTAGTGAGGCATGGCTGATCCAGTTCAGACAAAGGTAAGTGAATGTCAGTGAGGCTGCCTCTAGGCTCAGGGTCTGCGAAACCTAATTTTTTATTAAATATACAAGCTAATTAGAAATGAGAAGAAAGCAGGCAGAAGCTGCACACCCGGCCGTGAATGCAAAAGCAGTTTGGTTCAGAAACCACGTGAAGGTTATGGTCATTTAAGCTTGAATGGGGCGTCACCGCAGGAACTTCAATGGGACGGGCAGGTATTCGGTTTAAAGGTAACGTTTGTCGCCGAGGCTGTGAGCTGGTGTGGGTGGCTCACAGAAGGAAGAGTTCGGGAGCTTGAGGGGCCGGGCGGTGTGGGCCATACCACCGTGTCTGCGCCGCATGATGCAGAGTGGAAAATAGTTTATTAAACCACTTATGAAAAGCGATCTGACTGCGGCCTCAATAAACTGCTTGCAACTAGGACCAGCAAGTCCTCTAACAAAGAAGGTCACGGGAACTTTGGATGTTCACACGGACTGGATGGGAGAAGATGAGTGAAAAATAAAAAAAAGCAAAGGAATCCGAAAGGTCTCCCCACCTGTGAGGCTGCAGGGGGATGGGAGGAGGGAAGGGGTACAAGACGGGGGGCCGGGGGCCCACCCTGGCGCGGGGGTCGGGGGGCGTTTCCCCACAGGAGATGCAGGAAGAGGGGCTGCGAGGAGCGGCCGCGGAGGGTGTGGGCCCTCGGCCTGGAGCCCGCCGCCGTTCGCGGAGTCAGGAAGCTCAGCTCTTGAGTCACAAAGGAAGCAGGGTGTCTGCGGCGAAATGTCCCTTTTCCTTTTCCTTTCTAGACCGGCCCTGCGCGTCCTCTGCGCCTGGATCAGTCCTCCGGTGCCCTGGTACCTACACCGACCTCCTCGCCTTCCCTCCGGGTCGCTCCACGGCCTCCTCTCCTGTATCCTCCGCCAGCTCTTCTCCGGACCCGGGCCTGGGGCCCGCGCGGCCGGGGCGCCGCCTCCAGTTCGTGCGCTCACTCCCCTCCCACCATCCGATGGCTGCGAAACTCCTCTGTCATCAGACGCCTTGAACTGAAACGCTTTGTACTGCGTTCCCCAAGCCCCTTCCAGGACTCCGCTCTCCCGTAAAGTGACTTCTAACCACAGCACGAGCATCCCCTGCTCCAGGCGCGGTCTCCCCCGCCTCCTCCAGGCCCCGGGCCCCTTGGGGAGATTCGGCATCCCCTCCCCGCTTCTCCTCCAGGCCGGCGCTGATGCTGAGAAAGTGGATGGTTCCAGCTCCACAGCCTGTGAGCGTGGAAAGGCTGATGACACAAGTTCAGTTCAGCTGCTCGGTCGAGTCTGACTCTCTGCGACCCCATGGACCGCAGCACGCCAGGCCTCCCTGTCCATCACCAGCTCCCGGAGCTTCTCAAACTCGTGGCCATTGCGACCCCATGGACCGCAGCACGCCAGGCCTCCCTGTCCATCACCAGCTCCCGGAGCTTCTCAAACTCGTGGCCATTGCGACCCCATGGACCGCAGCACGCCAGGCCTCCCTGTCCATCACCAGCTCCCAGAGCTTCTCAAACTCGTGGCCATTGAGTCGGTGATGTCGTCCAGCCATCTCATCCTCTGTCATCCCCTTCTCTTCCCGCCTTCCATCTTTCCCAGCATCAGGGTCTTTTCCAAGGACTCAGTTCTTTGCATCCGGTGGCCAAAGTATTGGAGTTTCAGCTTCAGCATCAGTCCTTCCAATAAACACCCAGGACTGATCTCCTTTAGGATGGACTGGTTGGATCTCCTTGCAGTCCAAGGGACTCTCAAGAGTCTTCTCCAGCACCACAGTTCAAAAGCATCAATTCTTCGGCGCTCAGCTTTCGTTATAGTCCAGCTCCCACATCCATACATGACCACTGGGAAAAACCATAGCTTTGATTAGACGGACCTCTGTTGGCAAAGTAATGCCTCTGACACAGGACACTTAGACTAAAATGAAGCAGCAGATACCACATCGGGGTGACCGAACTGCCCAGAAAACACTTCCTTGTGTTGAAAAAGAGAAAAGTACTTAGGCTCCTTTGGAGCCTCCTGCGGCTCTCAGGAGATGCGCAGGACCGAAAGACTGGATGCTCCTTAGAGAAGGTGTGTCAGATGCTGAAAGTATCGCTCAGCAACCCCCTACTGCCCTCTCATTTCCCAAGTCTCCCCCTTTAATAAAAATTGCCTGTTATACAGAGTGAAGTCAGGAAGAGAAAAACAAACATTGTAAGTTAACGCACAGATACGGAATCTAGAAAAATGGTCCCATGCCCCTATCTCAGGGCAGGGATAGAGATCCAGACCCAGACCCAGACCCAGAGAATGGGCGTGTGACCCAGCCGGGAAGGAGAGGGTGGGACAGACTGACAGAGCCGCCCTGACGCAGGGACGCCTCCACTTGTACGGCAGACAGCTAGCGGGCAGCTGCTGGGGGCCAGGGAGGTCAGCTCCCTGCCCGGTGAGGCCCCGGGGTAGAAGTTTGCCGGGAGGGGACGCAGGGGAGGGAGATAATCATGACCGATCCCCACTGTAGTCAGGCAGAAACCAGCATGGCACTGTAAAGCGATCGTTCTCCAACTAAGAAATTTTAAAAATAAGTCATAACTTTAAAAAAAAGAAAAGAAAAATTGGTAGAGGTGACATACATACACAGTGTTAGTCACCCACCTTTTCTCCTGGGTATCTGTTTGGATGAAATGAATATTCTAGCCCTCTGCCTGGGAAATCTCCAGGCCAAAGTGATTAAAAGTAAGGAGAACTGACCCTGTGGCCTGACTCCTGACACTTCATTTTCACTTCTGCTGAGAACAAAATGAAATCCCCTGGGTTAAGTTATTGTGGGTTTTCCCTGCTCTTTCAAGAAACCATGTCATTGTTCTCTGGCTATGAAAAAAAAAAAAAAAACCCTGCTGTTGCTCTGAATGTAACTTTTTGGAAGCGGGGTTTGATTTTACGGTATTTAAAAGTGTGTTCTCAAACGCTGACTCTGGCTAGCTCACTGCATTTCCAAGCAGGCGCTGGGATCTAGGGTAACATGAACAGAAAATGGACCAACAGGAGGGTCTCAGCGGAGCACAGCTAACGCCCACGAACACAAAAGTGAAGACGGTTGGCTCTGTAGACCCAGCGCCTTCAGGGGTCCCAGTCCAGACGCGGGCACTCTGGCTTCTGAGATATTGCATGTGACATGGTCCCAGTGCCTCATCTACAAGACAGAGTTAATACTAACACCTCTAATCACAGGGTAGTTGCAAAAATTAAATGTAACAGAACAAAACAAAAAATCACAGACTAGAAGGTAATCTTTACAAAACACACATCGGATAAAGGACCTATATAAAAAATAGACAAAGAACTCTTAAAACACAACAATAAGGAAAATATGTTGAAAAGTGGGCAAAAGAAAAAAAAAGATCTCAACAGACACTTCAGCAAAGAAGACCTACCGATGGCAAATAAGTCTGAAAAGATGCTCACCATCCCATGTCAGGAGGGAGCTACAAGTTAAAACCACAAGGAGGGAGGGCTTCCCTGGTGGTCTAGTGGTTGGAACTCCCCGCTTCCACTGCAGGGGTCACGGGCTCCATCACTGCTCGGGAAACTAAGATCCCACATACCTTGAGGCATGGCCAAAACAAACAAAGAAACAAACAATAAACAAGATTCTGCATGCCATGGCAAAAAAAAAAAAAGATAATGTGTATGAATCAGCTTTGTGCAGTTACATATACATATATATATCATTATATAACATTACTATGATTATTTTTTAAATCAAACAGATGTAACCATTTCTGGCTGGATGGCATCACCGACTCGATGGGCATGAGTTTGAGTAAACTCCAGGAGTTGGTGATGGACAGGGAGGCCTGGCGTGCTGCAGTCCATGGGGTCGCAAAGAGTCGGACACGACTGAGTGACTGAACTGAACTGAACTGAACCATTTCCTGGTTGAAAAGTCAGAGATAGGAAGAGATTTCTACGAAACCTGGACCAGTTTAGGGAGGAGACTGTCTTCCAACCTTTCTTTCTCCAGCCCCTCTGTGCCATCTTTCTGCCCCCGACTTCTGTGGACTATACAGTAGCCAAATTTCCTGGGTTTACAATTAGTACAACCACACAGGAATCAATTTGCGTCACAGGGGAACAGAACTAAAAGCTTTAGAAAGATGTTGAACATGCTTGAAGAAATCATTAAAAGGGTTTGGTTGGTCTTTTAATGCTTGTCCAGTTCCCTGATTTTATCTTTCTTAGTATTTCTCTGCTAAGATCAGGGCATCCATGTCATGACTTCATGGCAAAATAAGGCGTGAGAGTGGAAGCAGTGACCTATTTGATAGACCTTATTTCCTTGGGCTCCAAAATCCCTGTGAATGGTGACTGCAGCCATGAAATTAAAAGATGCTCTCTCTTTGGAAAGAAAGCTATCACAAACCTAGACAGCATATTAAAAGCAGAGACATCCCTTTGCCAAAAAAGGTCTGTATAGTCAAAGCTATGGTTTAGTCAGTAGTCATGTACGGATGTGAGAGCTGGACGGTAAAGAAGGTTGAGCACCAAAGAACTGATTTTGAACTGTGATGTTGGAGAAGACTCTTGCGAGTCCCTTTGACTGCAAGGAGATCTAACCAGTTATTCCTAAAGGATATCCAGCTTGGAAATCAAGCTGAAACTCTAATACTTTGGCCACCTGATGCAAAGAGCTGACTCATTGGAAAAGATCCTGATGCTGGAAAAGGATGAAGGTAAAAGAAGGGGATGGCAGAGGGTGAGATGGGCAGATGGCATCCTTGACTCAACGGACAGGAATTCTAGCAAACTCTGGAAGACAGTGTAGGACAGAACAGCAGGTGTGCTGCAGTCCATGGGGCCACAAAGAGTGGACACAACTGAGCACCTGAACAACTACAGTTCATTTAGTTGCATTGTGCTGAGTCGTTTCAATCGTGTCTGACTCTCGGCGACCCTATGGACTGTGTAGCCTGCTGTGTTCCTCTGTCCATGGGATTCTCCAGGCAAGCATACTGGAGTGGGTTGCCATTTCCTCCTCCAAGGGGGTCTTCCCGACCCAGGGATTGAATCCACGTCTCCAGCATTGGCAGCCAAGTTCTTTACCACTAGCGCCACCTAGGAAGGCTGAATACTGGAGTGGGTAGCCATTCCCTTTTCCAGGGGATCTTCTAGATCCAGGGATGGAATCCAGGTCTCCTGCATTGCAGGCAAATTCTTTACCACCTGAGCTACCAGGGAAGCCCAATACAAATAGACTATTCACTTTAGTTGTGCTGAAGCTGAAGCTCCAATACTTTGGCCACGTGATGCGAAGAGGAAGAGCTGACTCATTAGAAAGAGCCTGATGCTGGGAAAGATTGAAGGCAGGAAGAGAAGGGGATGATGGAGGACGAGATGGTTGGATGGCGTCACCAACTCAGTGGACAGGAGTTTGAGCAAGCTGCGGGAGATGGTGAAGGACAGGAAAGCCTGGCGTGCTGCAGTCCATGAGGTCACAGAGCCAGACACAACTGAGCAACTGAACAATTAGTTGTTTTAGCATTCCCTCTGGTGGTTGTACATGGGTATGACATCTCTACCAAGCACAGGTAAGGCTGTGTTTCCAAAGGAATGAGAAACAGGAATTTCAAAGTAATCCCTTGAGAGTTTGTCAATTACTTCCTGGCCAGGTGACTATGTATCTCTGATCCGATGTGATGAATAGGATGCTTCACTTCGGTGTTCGTCCCCCAAAATCATAACTCCATCCGAATCATGAGAAAAGTAGCAGACAAATCTAAACAGGGTCATCCTACAGAACACCTGCCCAGAACTCCTCAGAACAGCAGGACCAGGAAAACAAGGGCCGCCCGAGAAACCAGCACAGACCAGAGGAGGCGACAGAGACACGGCAACGGTGGGCAGTGAGGCGCCCTGGCTGGTATCCAGGAGGGGAAAGAGCAGCGCTGGAAAATCAGTAAAATTGCAATAAAGTGTTCGATTCAGTTCAGTCGCTCAGTCATGTCAGACTCTCTGTGACCCCATGGACTGCAGCACGCCAGGCTCCTCTGTCCGTGGGATTCTCCAGGCAAGAATACAGGAGTGGGTTGCCGTTTCCTTCTCCAGGGGATCTTCCTGACCCAGGGATCGAACCGGCTTTCCTGTATTACAGGCAGATTCTTACTGTCTGGGCCACAGAGGAAGCCCTA